AAAATTTAAAAATTAGCCAGATATGGTGTTGCCTACCCGTAGTCCCAGATACTCTGGAGACTAAGGCAGAAGAATCTCCTGCGCCCAGGAGGTCAAGGCTGTGATTGTGCCACTGTGCTCCAGCCTGGATGACACAGCGAGACCCCAACTAAAAAACTAAAATAAAAAAACGATTTGCACAGACATTTCGCCAAAGAAGAAAGAAGCACATGAGAAGCTGTTCAGTATCTTTATCATTAGAGAAATGCAAATTAAATCCACAATGAAATGACCTTATACACTTATCCGAATGATTAAAGGCCCAATCACACCAAGTGCTGACAGGGAGTGGAAAAACCAGAGCTTAGACAAACTGCCGGTGGGAAAGTACAGCCGTTTTGGAAAACATTTTGGCCATTTCTCAAAAAGCTGAATAGATGCCCTACCTACTCATCTACTTTCCTGCTGCTTTCTCCCATGAGAAAAAGAAAGATATGTCCACATAAGGATTTGTACATAAATGTTCACAGCAGCCATGTCTGAAATAGCCCCACATTGGAAACAGATGTTCATCAACACACGCATGGGGAAACAATGGTGGTATATCCACTTCAGAGAAAACTACTTAGCAATAAAAAGCAAGGAACTAGTGATATAGACCCAGCTGCTTAGATAGATCTCAAGATAATTATATTGAGTGAAAGAAGCCAAACCAAAAAAGAGAATTTCATATATGATTCCATGTATATAAAACTCCAGATACCGTGGCTGGGTGCAGTGGCTCTCACCTGGAATCCCAGCACATTGGAAGCCCAAAGTAGGAGGATCATTTGAGCCTAGGAGTTCAAGACCAGCCTGGGCAACATCGTGAGACCCTATCTCTACAAAAAAAAAAAAAAATTTAAAAACAAAACAACTCTGGATAACGCATATTATAGTGACAGAAAGTAGATCAGTGATTGCTTGGGGGTGAAAGGAGGGGAAAGACAGGAAGGGAGAAAAAGGGGTTCTAGGAAAACACTGGGGATGACAGATCTGTTCACTATCTCGAGTGTGGCGAGAGTTTCACAGACGTGTGCACATGCCCAAAGTTATCACATCGTGTGTTATAAATACTGATTTTGTTGAAGGTCAACTGTTCTGCAAAAATACTGTTTCAAGTAAAAAAAAAAAAAAATCTACAGCCACCAAGCCAATCTTTTAGAACAAACGTTCTATTAGAGAATACTGTTCTCAGGTGAAAAACCTCAGTTAGCCAGAGATAACTGTCAATTGTGACAACAGGACTCTTCATAAGCAGTGACTCTTTAACTACAGAATTGAGACTAAAACCATCGAGTGTAGTGGCTCTCACCTGTAATCCCAGCACTTTGGGAGGCTGAGGCTGGAGGATTGCTTGAGACCAGGAGTTCAAGATCAGCCTAGGCAACATAGCAAGACCTCAACCTAAAAAAAAAAAAAATCACAAAAATTAGCTGGGTGTAATGACAGGTGCCTGTGGTCCCAGCTACTCAGGAGGTGGAGGCGGAAGGATCACCTGAGCCCAGGAGGTTGAGGCTGCAGTGAGCCTTGGTCATCGTGATCATGCCACTGAACTCCAGCCTGGGTGACAGAGTGAGATTCTGACTCAAAAAAAAAAAAAAGATTGAGATTAAAAATAAACATGAAGATTATTTAGTATACTATTGTAGATTATCTTATTGCTTCCAATCTTTGCCCTTCCTAAACTCATTCCCTTTGCAGTGTAACCTTGCAGGTGGCTGTCTGACTTGCTGTGGCCAACGGAATGTGCATGGAATGACTGCTCCTTCCTCTTGGGTCTCATTGTTCAGCGTGAAAGGAACATGCCCTCCCCAGTCCATGGTCCAAGGAGGATGACAGACAGGGGAGCAGAGTGGACCCACTTGCATCTTGGAGCCAAATCCAGCTGAGCCAAGGCTATGCTAGTCATCCTTCAGGTGCATGAGAGAAGATACACATTTCTTGCTGAACCCAGTGAATGTGGGGTGGTTTATTACCCAGAGTGATTGCGGCAATACTCACAGGATACACACAGTTGGTTGTGGTGGGAAACAGAAAAGTAAGAAGAGGTTTTCTTCTCATCAAAATTGATAATATTAAGTTGACAAGTCAAGTAACAGAAGTATGTATCTAAAATGACAGAAGTAAGTAAATATTAAGAGAGGATGTGATCAATTAAAAAAAATAGGTAGTGGAGGCTGAGCGCGGTGGCTCACATCTGTAATCCCAGCACTTTCGGAGGCCAAGGTTGGGAGAATTGATTGAACCCAGGAGTTCGAGACCTTCAGCCTTCCAAACTGCTGGGATAACAGGCATGAGCCACTGCATGCAGCCTAACTGACCGCTTGAAATCCATGACATATGAAGAGAGGAAAATAATCAGCTATATAAAAACTTGAATGACATTATCATTGAGGCACTCAATAGATACACCAAGCCTGATTTGTGAACACAGAAACGACACCTTCTTTTCTTTTCTTTTTTTTTTTGAGTTGGAGTCTCACTCTGTCACCCAGACTAGAGTGCAGTGGCCGCTCCCGGCCACCGCAGCCTCGGCCTGCTGGGTTCCGGCGATCTTTCCGCCTCAGCCTTCCGAGTAGATGGAATTACAGGCATGTGCCACCACGCCCAGCTGATTTATTTATTTATTTATTGTAGAGATGAGGTCTCGCTGCCCAGGCGGGTCTCGAACCCGTGGGCTCAGGCAATTCACTCACCTCAGCCTCCCAAAGGCGCGGGATTACAGGCTGAGCCACCGAGCCCAGCTGCACCTTCTTTTCAAATACTCATGTAACATTCCCCCAAAGGAACAGTCCCCAAAGGAACCATGAGTTAGGGCCCAAAGAAAACCTAAAAAAAAAAATCCAAACTAGAAATAGTACCAAAACCTAATCTGCCCAGGAAAAAATTCTTAAATGCTCGAATTAATAAAGACTTAAATAAGCATCAAAGATACTAAGTTAGGACAAGACAAGACAAGGGGTGATTACTAATGAGTACAGGGCTTCTGTTTTGGGAATGGCAAAAGAGTTCCAAAATTAGATTGTGATGCTAGCTGTACAACTCTGTGAATATATTAAAAACATTTTTGAACTTTAAATGGATAAATTGTGTAGTGTGTGAATAATATTTTAGTAAAGCTGCTACAAAAAAAGAAATAATACAATTAGGAAGCAATAGTTAGATTTAAGAGTTAATAAAACAGATAAATCATTAGATAATATAATTAAAGAAAAATAGAGGACAAATAACCCCAAATAAGAAATACAGGTAACACCCTACAGAAACAGAACTAATCCCTCCTAAAATCACCAGGCCCTAATGTTTCCATAAAGGAATTAGGGCATGTCCTTAAAGAAATTTCTATTTCATCTACTCAAGACCAGAGAAAAGAACTTTGTCTCATTATTTTTAATAAAAAGAGTATAAGTTTATAGCAAAACTAAAAAAGATTAAGAAATATTACAATATTTTTGAAGAAGAACCTGAAAGAAAAATAGAATAAGCTGAAATATTTTTTAAATAATTTAATGCAATCACCTAACTCCAATAATTACCAACACATGGTCGATCATGGACAAGTTCATTTTAATGTTCTGAAGAGTAAAGAGTCATAAAAATTTTAAAAAGATAAATAAGTGGAACTTTCCTAATAGTCATCTAGCAGTACTATGGTAGATAGCCCTGAAATAGATTCATGTTTTTGTCGGTATGCACAACGTGATAAAAGTGTTAATTTTAAATCAGTGTAGAAAGGTTGGCTTAAAAACTAATTAATATTGTTAGGTCAGTGGGTTACAAAATTGTAAGAACTGACATTAAATAATCTATAGCAAATACAAAATAAAATTCAGATGGATTACAGATCCAAATGTAAAATTAAGCCTATAAGAAAATTTAAAAGTTATAGGGGACTAGGTCCATACTCTTGTTGTGGGGTTCTTCCCAAGCCATAGAGGGATGACACATTTGATTACATGAAAAGTTTAAACTTCTGAGGAGTGAAACAAAGTTACAAGACAAGTAACAGAGGGTCATGTATGCCTCTCAGTATAAATCAGACAAAGAAGACTGGAGGGAAGACCTGGAGATATGATGTAGGTGGAGTGTTTAGGAACATAAGGCTTAGTGTCTACCCACTTACTGGATGCATGGCTTCCCATGTCATGTCCCAGAAATAGGTTAGGTGACCTAGGGATTTGGGTGATCGTTTTCTTCTATAATGTTTTTTCTGATCATTTTTTCCTTCTCTTTGATACACAAAGATGGTGGGTCGTAATTAACATTTTAGACGTTCTGTAACCAAATTTGGGGCGGCCTCACGTTGTTTCCTGTTTGGAATGTTGATATTTCAGCAACTGTAGTTTAGATTGGCACGTGGAGGCGCTGGGGGTTTTGGTTTCCTTGATGTCACCACAGTCCCTATTGCAGAAGAGAGTTCCCCCAGAAATAAAAAAATAAACAAACGCTCAGGGATTGGATAAAACAATGTGGATGCTGTGTGGGAGGAGAGCAGGGCACCAGCACATCAGCCCACTTCCTCACCACACACTTGACCCTGACCTCTAGCCTAATGCCATCGGCATCACTCAGCCCGCTCGGTCAGCGCAAATTACACGCAAGAACTCCTGCCCCCGGCTGGGCGGCGGGACTCGCGAAACCCCACTACTGGTACACACATTACTAACGCGCCTACACTTCCCACATAATATATTGTGTTTGTAAAAATAGCTAGAAGAGAGGAATTCAAAATGGTTCTAGCATAAAAAATAATTAAGGTGATGAATATTCCTAGCACACTGATTTTGTCTTTACAAATGAAATAAATGTATTACATTAGCACATGTACCCCAAAACTATGTAGATCTATAATGCAACAATTTCTTAAAAAGTAATATATTTCTCAGGCCTTTGCCTGTGACATAACCCTCTTTTCTATTGCTAGGGATCATAAAACATC